TATCCCTCGACCTTATCTAGCAATACGCCGAGCTCGTGGCTCAATGGGTAGGGCGTTTAACTCTGATCAAACAGGTCGCGAAGTCAAGGCTCGGGGGAGGGGGGGGGCGCCACTTGGGTCTGGCTATGACTGGCCGACGATGGCTAATAAGCCAAAAATGGCCACATTCCAGTCTCCCTTGTCTTTGCCGGTAATACTATATGCCTACACTATCAGCTACTCCGGCTGTCAGGGCCTCTGTCGAGGCCGCAGGCAGAGCGGGACAGATGAGTTTCGTTAGCGGCCGGGGGGACGTTCATCAGTGAGGGTGATGTGACTCCTTGATCCACAGGTCGCGGTTTCGCGCCTCGGATGGCGCACAACATGAATTTGGGTATAGCTGGCTGATGATGGCTAATGAGACAGAAGTGTCCACCTTCCAGTACTCCTTGGCTTTGTTGGCAGTGTTCATCAACCTACACTACTAGATGTTGTGTGGGGCTGCTTGCGGGTCTTCATCAACACATTTCTTCCCTGGTTTATTTCCTCAAACCCCCATCTGAACATGACTCAGGTTATGCTCCTCAGCGCTACTCTTTCCAAAGCGGGACGAAACGTCTGAAACCTGTATGTGGGAGCTTGCTGAGCTGACTCATTCTGCTTTCGCTCTCCCAGGGCGTACACCCATGCCTTATCATCTACTCCGCGCGTTATCGGCCGTTCCCACGTTATCGACCCACTCGCCGCTACATGCGCGCGTACGCTCAAAGGCAATCGATACTTTCGCCTCATCTGATTGGCGACAGACGATTGCTTACTCATCCCACAGCCAAAACTTGACACATCCTCACTTTTGCTCCTAAGCGGCTGGCTATTGTACGCGGCGCTTGCAGCGACTACTGTTGAGCTACTTGAGATCCGTAAAGTTGTTCCAGTTCATTCCGTCTTCCCATACTTGTGATTTGGGGAATCCTTCTGCTGTTGACACAACTACTTGCGGCATGTCCTGCAGTCCGCTTTCGGCACCAAAACAAAAGTATAGGATGTAGTAGCAGTAGCAGCGGCACTCAAAACTCACCACTTTTACACGCCAGTATTTCCCTTCTGTGGTGACGAAGTCCAGGATGGTACCAGTCTGGACGTAGGTCTTGAATCCGACAGTCACATTGTCCTCGGTGGTTTGCAGAGGTGGTACCAGGTCATAAACCAGGTAGCCGACCTTATCGTAGTCAATGTAAACGCCGTTGGTATCTAAAGGCAGGGAGAAAACAAACACTTCATCAGGCTTAGGCGATAATAATTGTGGTTCGCGAGCCTCCCAAATCTTTCGGACTCCACTCCTGCAGGAACTCATTTTGCTTACCAATTCGATTTGAGGCAATTACCATTGTAAATATAAAAAGATGAATTGGCGAGCATACGTTTGCTTTCGATAAGTTCTCTTCAGGCCTGAACACTTATATGGTTTTGATCTCAACTCCCCCCAATGCCCCTGAGAACAACAACACTGCATCTTTTCACCAACCAGCATATTTTATTTATTTAATTATTATATAAATGTACAGGCCTGAAGAGGGTTTATCGAAAGCAAACGTTTACCTGCCAATCTATCTTTTGATACCAATTATTGATTGTTATGATCACTATTTATTCAGAACTGACTTCCAATTTGAGGTTTTCGTAAGGATGACTTGTATGGGCGCCTAAACGGAACAAGAGAATAGTAAATTCTAGGTTTAGGATTAAGGGAGGAGGGATGTTAGGTTCAAGGTTAGGGCTAAGGTGAGAGTTGAGGGGTTATGGATTGAAGTATCTTCAGTGTTAAGGTTTAGGCTCGTGTTAGATGCAAGATTTTGGTTAAAGGTAGGACTAGGGTTATGATTAAGGTAACCGTTTATTTTTCTGTTAGGGGTAAGAGCCGGCAATAGTTACCCTTCTAGAGATTTATCTCAAGGCCGCCTATGTTAAGTGGGTCGGAAGCTCGAATGCTCGTGTTCTGGCGAGGTGACCATACAAGTCATTCTTACCCTTATAATAAGGTATACCGAAAATAGAGCTTAATTAGTCAGGAGATTAAAAAGCCGAACTTGCAAAACCGGTATATCAACAAGAAAGCAAACAGAGAAATCTGAGGGATGTTGGGCCGGACCTCATGCAGCTGTGTCAAGCAGCGGCTAAAAACGTGTCAGGTTTTTCACCTAGTGTCCCTGCCGCTAATATGATAAAGTACAACATCAATGGATACTACTAATGTATGTCTGTAGACAGCATGTGCATATAATGTGATTATTCTACAGTAGGGGAAAAAGTGCTGCCCAAATATATGCATAAAATTTCGGTCGATTCAAATCGACCATAATTATCCATAACGAACACTAAAATTAACTTGTAGGGAAATAAGAAAG